CTCCAACACCGCCGCCACAGTCACCGCCACCACTTCCCCGTCCATCACCGCCACTACTCCCGCCACCGCCGCCGCCATCGACACCCATAGACACAGCTATACGAGCGCTGGCGGTCGCACAGACCGTACCCAATGAAGAGAGACGGTTGTCTGTGGCGTCGGACACCACCAGCCCTACGATAACACCCGTTCCCTCCGACACGGAATTGGATGACGACATCGAAGTCGTCGACGAGTATGTTATTCATCGACCACTGATTCACTGAACGTTGCATTTGTTTATCCGTTGCTTAATATAGCGATGTGTTGTACCCGACGGTCGACGACGACCTGCCGACCGATGAACCCATTGAATCGCTGCTTCCCGACGAAGATTATTACCACCGCTTCGACTCGTTGGTGAAACGGGTGGCCGGACTGTTGGGCGCCGACACCACCGCTGCCGGCGACGTAAAGCCAGTGATTGGCGCTGAAGATTATACGTAAGACTTGATCCCAATGAACTGACAGTCATTTTGTGTGTTATTTACTGATTGTTTGTTTAGATCGACGACTGATGTAAACAGTGATATAACATGTGATATAAAAGTTGATGTCAACGCCATTGCGGACAACTCGCCGCCCGATGTGACCACTGATACCGTCCATACCTTCAGTTTAGTAGCGGGTGATTGTGTGCCACAGATTGCCGCCCAACCAGTTGTTGAGCAGTCAAATACTGTTGTGACCGCTACAGACCAAACACTTGAGCCTTACGTCAAACCTCTTATGACAGATCCGAGTCTACAGCCAGTGTCTGACCAGTCATTGGCCACCACTTTAAGCACTCAAACCGAAGGCACGGCTAGTGTTGAACCAGTGGTGGCAGACATACCGGCGCCGGCGCTACAGAATGATACCAACAACACAGCAAACGCTTGCATAACACCTACCGGTGCCGTCATTTCAAACACTGATTGCCCGACAATAGCCGCCAATAATCATAAGTATTTGTTTTTAATATTCATTTCATAATAAAAATGTAAATTAATTTTTTATGTTTTCACAGAAATAGTGACACAAATACTGCCAAAGAAATGGCTGTCAATGAAGAGACAGTCGATATAAACAGTGGTCAAGAAAGTGGTGGACAATCGACACCGACGGCCGATAAGGAGATCCAGAAGGAAGGGGCGGACAAAATGGATCAATCAGTTTCAGACATTTCCAGTACAGAGATTAACTTCACGGCAATCGCTGACCACAAGTATGTGTCGCCCGAATAGCTATGAATTGATTTTTATGGTATGTTTTGTTTATTAATTTGCAGTAAAAGTGGCGAAGAAGTGGCCAAAGAAGCGGTTCCGGCGAGCGTTAGACCAAAGCGCGGCCCGCGTTTACCGCAGTCTCACTACCGGTCGCGCAACACAACACTGCGGGAAGCGCTTGGCCTGAGTCGGGGCGACGATCACTACATGTCGGACATTAACAGCGATTCCGACGCCGATAGCGATCAGTCAATGACACCGTTTGACGGTTTACTACTAGACGTGTCTCAACGCATGGCATCTAAGGTTACGAGTCCTTCAAAGACAGGCCACCGATCGTCGCCACACCCGTCGGTCACGCGGTCTCGGAGTTTGACGCCACGCGACGGCGCTGTGATCGGTGGCCATCGCCCGGAACCGCTACCGATGGCCAAGCAGTACGTGTGTAGAGGTCACGGAAAAAGTTTCGCCAACCGATACGAGTTCAATGAGCACCAGTACATCGTTCACGGCCTGACACATCCATACCGGTGTGAGTACGACGACAGGCGCGACCCTCAGCGCCGGTGCCGCCGACGGTATGACCGGGCGTTTGATTACGTGCGCCATCAGCGCCGCCACCACTCCCTACGCGTGCGCTATGAGTGCGAGTACAGCGGGTGTGACCAGTATTTTGATCACAAGTCGGCCATCAAAGAGCACATCACCAAAAAACACGGTAAACAGCGGCCGTTTGTCTGCGATCGGACCGACTGTGGCCAGAGTTTTGGCCGCGAGACGCAACTCTACGCCCATAAACGTGACGATCACACCAATCACTTCCGGAGCGGCGATCGCCCGCTCGCCAGCCTTAAAGTGACCGTTCCGTTGGCTTTCCGGTGCGATTACGAGCGATGCGGCCAACGATTTGCCAGTCAGTCGGCGCTCGACGGACACAATGTGGACAAACATTCGGGCGATTATCACAAACGCGATGCCAAAGACTGCGGACAAAGTTTTTTCGCCAAATCGGTGCTAAATCTGCAAAAACTTTGGGCAAATTTACTGCCAAAGCCGGCGATGTCTGTCAACTGCCCGGACAATAGGCCAGCGATGGACTCAAACCCAACTCTTAGTGACCAATCGGTGCCTAAACTCGTCTCAACGATATGTCAATACGAATGTGATTATACGGATTGCTTCGGAATGTTTGCCACCGAAGAGATACTGCAGAAGCATAAGAAGGCTGTCCACCAAAAGCACGACCAGTTGTTGACATCGGCTCAAGAACTGCCCGCTGTTTCCGTTGACAGCACTTTATTTCAAACACATTCACTGCTTTCCATCGGTAGGGCTGTGTCTGAAGCACTTCCCGGCATTTCTAGTGATATCTCTGTGCCTAACCCTACGGCCAACACATCCAATGAGTACTCGTTTTACTAGTGATTTGAGTTTCAAAAACTAATTGATTTTTTTACTACAAAACAAGTGATACAATCACTGGTGGCGTGCGTTTGTCTGACATACCTGTGCCCACACCGGCCAACGCCGAGACTAATAGCCGACTATGGGATACACTGCTAGGAGTGGTCACTCAACCGCCGGCTATGACAGTAACCCTCACCGACACAGACATCAGTGACGTTATCAGCGAAACGACTCCAGCGCTCGACACCATCGCCTCGTCGGCCAGCGTTAAGTTACCCACCGGTCGGTTAATACCACCGCCATTGCCGCCGACTAGCCTGTTGTCCATTGGTCTCAGCGTTCCGGTAGTGCCGCCGATGCCATCGCTCTCTGACCTGTCGTTATTCTCAAAGGCAGGCCCTCATAGGTATTGAATTGTTTGCTGTAAATAATAATTGTATTTTAATCTCTCTCTCTCTCTCAACATTACTAGTAATACGGATCGGGAATTGCGGACACATTTGAAGACAACTCGCGCCGACTCTTCGGGCCATACCGTGACCTACAGTGAGAAGCGCTACAAATGCGACAAATGTTCGCAAACCTACGGTCGCGACTGTCAGCTCAAACGGCACCAGAAGTCACGGCACGGCGTGCGGAAGCCGTACCGGTGCTCGCGTGACGGATGTGAGCGCCGGTACGCCAAACATTCGCTACTGAAAGCGCACAAACGGGCCAAACATCGGTCGCCGGACTCGCTTTACCGGTGCCGATACGGTCAGTGCGAGCGGCAGTTTGTGTCGGAGCGGCTGCTGAACGAACACCGGCTCAGAGCCCACGCCGTGGACTACCCGTACCGGTGCTTACGGGAGCCGTGCGGCGGCGCAGATCCCTATGGCTATCCGACGGACGATATGCTATTTCAGCACAAGTTGTCCGCACACTATACCTGCGATTACAAGCACTGTCATCGGGCGTACGCCACACGTCAGGAGCTCAGCGAACACAGGCCAATGTGCCCGTACGGGCCCAACTTCACGAGCTCCACCACCCGGTCGTACAGGTATGCCATCGATTTGCCATTGGATATAATGGTCGCACAAATTAATGGTTTGTTTTTATAACAATAATAGGTTTAGGGATAGGACTTATCGGTGCACTGTTTGCCGACATATGTATGAAACTCGGACACAACTGGACGCTCATATCTGTCAGACCAGTAGACACCGGTCGGGACACTCCGTAACGGCCGACAGCAGCCCTGCGGACGACCCGCTGGTCAACACATCCAATAAGTATGTGAGATATGAGTGATTTTACGGCCAAATATTTGGCTAAAACTTATTTATAATTTAATTAATTTACTTAAAATTTAATGAATGAATGCAATATTTTGTTTGTTTTTTACTTAAGCTTTACATATAATTGATTTAATATTGTTTTTTAAATTATGAATTAATTAAACTGATTTATTGATTAGTATTTACATTACTGTATAATTATTGATTCATCACTTGTGGCCATACATTAAACGTTTGTTAAAACTATTGTTTTTGCTTACAATTAAAATAAATCTTTTCTCAAACCTATTTTTGCTTATTTTTTGGTTTATATTTAAAATGTTTAATTAATGTTGTGTTTAACCTTGTTTAATGTGTGACCTTGGTGTTTTGCATGTCTAATACTTATCTAATATTAACTCTAACCATAATAAATGTTTTATGTTTTGTCAAAATGCAATAATACTAATACAGCGACTGCACGGCCGGTGTATCGCCAGTGAAATTCATACCTCTGGATGACATACCGGTGCCCGAAGACAACGACATACGGGTGCCGGAGAACACGACCGGCACTTTCCTTAACGACATACCGGTGTTGAGCGCTGAAACACCAGCGGACCCGTTGTCGTTACAGCCGGTGCCCGACCTCTTACGGCCGCCCATACCTAACGATAGTGAACTCAGCGCTGATAACACTAATAGTATTGGCTTTAAGTATGTGTTTTTAATTCACATTAAATCAATTGTTTAATTATTAAATGTGTTTTTATTTCGTTAAATAGCCATACAATGAGTGCTATAGTAATACAGGCGCTAAACAACACATTCACTATCGACATACCAGCCCTCCCGGTGCCCGCCCTCACAGTCAGATCATTGTTGGCTAATTATATGAACGCCAGCGTTAGCCCAATCGATATCACATATCATAAGTATATTTATAATTCACTTATAAACCAAAACTTAATTGTTTAACACTAAACACTTACAGCACCGGCACTACTGGTCCTACACCGGGCTTACCGTCTCCTCCTATGAGTGAAGTGTTGTTCACATGCGATGAATGCGACCAAACATTTCTGTTTCGGTCCAATTTTGCCGACCATAAGACCTGTGCCCACCCGAGCCCTTAGTAAACGTTGGACTAATTGATTGTTTTGTCGGTTTAACGCTGTTTATGGCATTTGTTAATTGACTGTGACATGTGATTTGTTTTTGCACTTTGATTGCTATTTATTTAACTGTTTTGTTAACTTGTTACTCAATCAATGTGTTGCGTTGAAATTTAACACTAGTTTTAATTAGTTATAAATAAATTAATATTTTTATGCAAATAAAACTTTGATTCAACTCATGTTTGTTTACTTATTTTATTTGTAATTATAACGAGAATATAAACATTGTTTTTATAATAATACAAACCTAATAGGATTTTAATGATAACCAATAGAAAACATTATGATAATCAGTGATTATTAATTACTGATTGAGTACATTTATAAATTATAATAATAAGTTATTATTAATAACTATAGTACACTATTTCATAATCATTATATTATTAATAATAGTGTTTTAACACGTTATGAACACTGCACTCATATAATGTACTAACAATTCTCACAACTGTCATAAATATGAATTGGTTTTGTCATTAAAAATAAATTAACGAAAGAGAGAATGTATGAAATAAATAATTATAATTCATAAACATATAGCATTATTTTGCACCATGTTTGGCGTTGATATGTCTTTTCAAATCACTTTTCGTAACAAAGCGTTGATTACAGTTATTATGAATACATTTATGAAGTTTTATTTTCAGATGTCTTTTCATGTGTTCATTGAGATTAGATTTGCTGCGAAAACTTTTGTTACAATCATTGAAATGACAAACAAATGGTTTTTCTCCCGAATGTATGCGTTTGTGTTGAATTAGTCGTGATTTATAGCCATGCGGTGATGGACGGGGAAGTGGTGGCGGTGACTGTGGCGGCGGTGTTGGAGGGGGTGGTGGCGGTGGTGGCGATGATGGCGGTGGTAGGGGTGGCGCCACCGGCATTGGATGTGCCGACCATATTAATGGCGGCGATGACCGCATCGGCCAAACATATGGCAGCCGTTCGCTGTAATGACCGGTCGGCAGGTTGTCGTCGGGCGGGTATAACAACTCACTAAACGCAACAACAGATTCATAATTAGTTCTTCAGTGATATAATGGCCATACGATGCGGTCATACCTGTCCTCGACGTCGGTATCCAATTCCATATCGGAGGGAACGGGTGTTCGCGTAGGACTACTAGTGTCAGACACAGTGGACAGTCGTCTCTCTTCATTGGGTACGGTCTGTGGTGTTAGTGACGGCCCTAAATGCTCGGCACCGCCGGTGGTCAGAACGATGGGCGCGTCCACTATCGCCACGATCTCAATATCGCTGTCCGACTCTCTATTTGTGAAGTAAAAACATATCTGGCGTTTAAAACAATTATCTCTCAGCAAAACGGGCGCTAAAATCACGTACGGGTTGTCCGCTGTGGTAAGCGGTGGCGGAATCGTTGACGTAACGCATGAACTATCGTCGGGTATAATCTCTACTTCGGTATCACTATTGGTGTCCCTATGGGTGGCGGCGAAGAGAGAAGGGTTTAATACATTTAATGGCTTAAAACTCACGACATTTTAAACATCACTCACTCATCGGAGGACAGGGTGTGAAGCACGTGATGATCATTAGTGTCCTGTTTGCGGTGTTTGGACCGCACTTTCAGGTCTTCACGGCGTGTGCGGCGCCGTCGGCGACGTTTGTGAGTATTTGTTTGACTAGATTTTAAGTACAATTAAATGGCAATTATATCTTATGAGACAATCAGTGGTTTTCATTGCTTACGTTGTGTTTATATGGCATGTGTTGGCCGCTAAGTGACTGCCGGCGACCACTTTTGCCACAGGTTTAGTCACCGCCGATGACTGTCCGCTTGGAGTGTCACTAATTGTTGACGTAATAGTGGTTTGGCTATGAATTATGGCAGACATTATAATTAATTATTTCAGTAAATAATCAGTTAATAAACAATACATATCGTTGGCCACCACTGGAAATACGTACGGCTT